CATAATCAATCACGGGGGCAGTTCAACAATCGATTCCAAGCTCCAACTTATCAGTCAACGGCTTTTACAAGTCAATCAAGGCCCGTTTATGCCTCTGGGACAAGTCGTCCACAACAAGAGAAAAAGAGACGCTATTTTGACAAGCTTCCTCTGTCATATACTGAGGTGTTTCGACAATTAGTAGAAGCAGGAATTGTTACTCCAGTACCTATGGTGTCGGTAAAACCACCATTTCTAGCATGGTACAACCCACAAGCAAGATGTGAATACCATAGTGGAGGTGTTGGACATGATCTTGAAAATTGTCTTGCTTTAAAGCACCGTGTCCAAGATCTGATAGATGCAAAAGAGTTGCAGATTGCATCAGAACAAAAGGTTGTTGGTCCGAATATCACTAAAAACCCCCTACCAACACATGATAGTTCAACAGTCAATATGATTGAGAAAGATTTTGAGGAAGGTCAGGAGGTGGCTGCAGTTACTTTCACCAATCAAGTTTCATCAAATCCTAGACAGCCTTTAATATTGAAGGGACCAACGCTTACAGTTCCACTCAAACAAGGTTGATCTTAGAACTGTTACTGATGAGGGCTTGAATGAGTGAACAATGGAGTTTTTCCCTATTGCTATCATTTTGGAATGAAATGTGTCTATCATGTTAGTCTTTATTTGCATTTTCCAAACTCCCTTCATATTGCAATTTGAATCTTTGTTCTTCATGTTTTGATTCTTGATTTTTATACTTCCATGAGTTGCACTGTTAGTGAACTTGAATTCAATGTTGAACCCCATAGAGAAAATCGAGGGTTGAGAAAAAGAGAAGTGAGGGAGGTGATTGAGGGGAAAATAATGGATGAGTGGGAATGAGGGAAACGTACAAAGAGAAATTGATCTCAAAATTTGAAACAAACATTCCTATGATAGAAAGCTTGAGAATTCTTATCCTTACCATTTGAAACTTTTGCCATGGATTCATATTTAAGAATTGCCACAAATTGCACAAAACCAAAAAAAAAAAAAGAAAAAGAAAAAGAAAGAAGATGATGAAAATGGTGGAATTTTTGCTAACTTTGTTAGGTGATTGTTATCATTTTGATGCCTATGGTAGAAGATCCAAGGACAGAAGGCCTTCTATTTTTGAAACTCTATTCCGTAAACCTTGAAAGATTATCCTTAGTTAAGGACTTTGAGCTTAATTTCAATGAACATTTCTTCATGACCAATTCAACAACCTGGGAATATGGTTGCATGCCAAACTGGGGGCAAATGTTCCTTTGATTGGAAGATTTGGTAAAATTATTTTGAAAGGAAGAAAGAAAG